ACTGCTTTAAAGCCCTTTGACCTTTAATAATGTGTGGATGCACCCTGATGTGCTACGCATTCTCCAACGCGCCTAGGCATGCTTCTGATCAGGTGGTCAATGTCCTCCTGTGGTATCTCATTCCAGGCAACCACCAATTCCTCTCGAAGTGCTTCTAGAGTCTGAGGAGGACGTTGCAAATTGAGCAATCTCCTACCCATCATATCCTACACGTGCTCAATTGGGGATAAGTCGGGAGATCTTGGTGGCCATGGTAACAATCTGACATCATTATGTTGAAATAAGTCTATTGTGACTCTTGCAACATGTGGTCGGGCATTATCTTGTTGGAAAGTTGGATCTGCCCGGGTGTCAAGATAGGGTAAAAGATGGGGTTCTAGAACTTCGTGGATATAACGCTGCGCGTTCATGTTACGTCTGATCAAGATTAAAGGTGACCTGGAACCATAAGCTATAGCACCCCAAACCATAACTCCAACAGTGTGATGAACATGTTTTTCAACAAAAAACTGTGGATTCTTCCTTTCACCACGTCGCCTTCTAACCCTGGCACGACCATCGTGCATGCCTAAACAAAATCGAGACTCGTCACTAAAGACAATACTGTTCCATTCCTGATCCCAGAGTGACCGTTGTCTGCACCACTCAAGGCGATTACGTCGGTGTTCTCGAGTTAAAGGGAGGACCCAGTGTGGCCGGTATGAAAACAAGCCAAAACTTCTCATTCGTCGGTAAACACTTCGCATGCCAATAGGTCTTCCGCATTCTGGAAACCATTCATTTGCAATGGACCTGGTAGTGGAGAAACGGTCCCTCAGGGTCAATAATCTTAGGCGGCGATCTTGACGGTCTGTTGTTCTACGGTGGCGTCCAGTGCCCCTTGCTCTTTGCGTACGGCCTTCTCGAAGCCATGCCTGACAACACCTAACCACAGTGTCTACACTTCTTTGCACTCTAACTGCAATTGCCCGAAAAGAAAGTCCAGCTTCCCGAAGTCCCACTATACGGCCCCTATCAAACTCACTAAGTTGACGAAATCGTACAGGTCTCCGTTCTCTAGGCATCGTAACCGATCGTAAAGGATGTCAAGAACGAGAATCCGCCAACGTTGATTCTTTACTGCGGCTGAAATATTCATTTTTAGAGCATTAGTGAATTAAAAAAAAGCAGTATAAAAACCGGAATGTCCAACTGATAAGGCTGAAAATTTTTTCACTTGTTATTTACAGTAAGATAAATACATTCACCAACATTTATTAAAATAAATCCATTTAAACTGGGTGTTCGGATTTATATGTCACTTAGTATATATACATGGTCTTACAGAAAGGAGTGTAGAAAGTAGGTACATTCAAAAAAAACAAAAAAAGTTCCTATAAATATGGGTCCAAATATGCTCCCGTACCGAGATAGCGGGAGATGAAGCTTTATTCAGGAAATTAAAAATACATATATCTTCGGAGCGGGCAAAGATACCCAGTTAGGATATTTTTTTTTATACCAAAGCAGCCGCGCCGGTAGAAGTCTAAATGCCGGGACACCGCGGCTGCTATGAGGATTCAAAGAAATTTTGTTAATCCGATTTTTGAACTGCCTGATGTTAGTAGAACTGGGAAAAGACTCCTCTTGTAGATTGTTCCATAACCTGGACACCCTCTGGACAAAGGAGCGCTCGTAGGAATATGCTACTGATTGTAGACGAGACACGCATATTATTGTATTGTTGTTGTAATAAGGTGCTAGCTTTCTTGACATGCCGTATAGTGTCTCCATTACCAAGCTCCACGATGTTTTCAGAGTAGGGGAGGATAAACCTTTTCATAAGAATATTTTAGGATTTTACCTCAAATATTCCAACCTAAATATCTCCAAAACGAGTGATCTTATAAACATTCCTTAGGAGACAAAATGTATGAAAAATTGAATGATATTTTATAAAATGCACTTCTTTTGTCCGAATAAGCCAGTGACGTAGAAAAGATTTCCTACTAGAGGTCCAGGTACACCGCAGTTTCTACGTTCCTGGTTTAGTTTGGACCGGAAAGCTCTATATGTTTGTTGACTATGGTGTGCTTACAAAACAACAAAAATCTTAACTCAGTATCTTTACCCGCTCTGTAGATATTAATTTTTTTTCAGTTTCGTATATTAAACTTCATCATCCTCAATCTGGGCATCTTTGGATCCATATTTATAGAAACTTTTTTTGTTATTTTTTATGTATTTTCTACCATATATATACTTGCACAATGCACATTTTTTTGAAATACCCTGAATATCAGAAAATCGCGTTATTGGCATTTCTCAGAAATCAGGAATTATATAATTCATTTATTTACAACTTGCTATTTCTGATTTCTAATTTATACGCTAGGACCAATAGTTTTCAAAATGTGGAGTAACTTGAGTCTCTATTTTTGGCTGCCGCTGGCTACCCGCCCAGTTGCCTGTGGCTGCATTTTGGCTGTGCGACGGCATGTAGTGTATCACGGTGGTGATAAAACCTTCGCGAAAACCAAACAATAGGATATGATGGAACTGTAACTTTCACTCTTCCAGTCTGGATGGATGGATTAATAACGAATGTCAACAATGAGTCTTGCCACTATCTATTTTAGTGAAGACCTGGCAACACTGGTTGCCTGAGGTGTTAGGAGAAGCGGCTGTTTTCGTTTGTTTCCACAGTTGCCTTCAGCTATCTACCATCTCCACGTTCCACCACCTCGCTTTTACATTTAAGGGATTGTATTGTGTACGCTAACTTCCTGGCCCTCTCACATTCCTTCTGTAAGCGGGAAGGTGTTTTGTTTCGTTTTTATTCCCTGCTGCACACACATTCATGTATCCGCTTAACAAACCCTTTGCTACCATAAAACATATTTATACAGTTAATTCAAAGCCGGACGGATCAAGTTATAGCAATCTGAAAGAGACGTACGCGATCTTGAAACGTTTTTATAATTTAAATGGGAGTTAGTTCTTAAGGTAATGTAGAGTGTGTATGATTTTCTTACATTCCGGTGAACTGTATTTCTAAACACTGACAGAATAGTCACTCACCAAATCATTCTCAGGAAAAAAGTGCGGAAGTGCCACTGTCGCGTCGTACATTTTAGTCTCATTTCTAAAGACGACGTTACCTCTGTGATATAACAGTTGAAGATTCAAAGAGCTTGCTGAAAATGGATGCAATCACAAACTTATTTGACAAATGTCATCAGCAGTCAGAATTTGGGATCAGCCCTAGGAAGAGAAAAAATATGGGTTCTGGAGTATGAATTTATTACCTTTTAAAATAAAGGACTGGCAGGTTGTCATGTTAGAGTGTTTTTGTACATTGACTCGAACTCAACTAACTAACCAACTAATTCCTTGTGAAAGAGCCTGCATGAAAACCCTTTTCTGGGTAAACTAGGTGCGTAATCCCAAGCCAGAGCTGGGATTTACGGGTGACCCTGCGCAGCTCATGTTAAACCCCAAGTTCAGCCCCATGACAATTTAAAATTTTCTTATAGTACAAATTAAGCGTCTCAGTAGTAACTACTAGTTTTATTCGTATGTAGCCACCCATAACAAAACTGGATTTTTAGTACCAGGTCGCGCAGTTTTTCTGCGAAAACTAAAGTTTTTTTTGCTCCGAATAAAGCCTTTTTGATATTTTCAGAATCATTCTGAACAAATCAGATCGCTTGTAAATATTCAATACATACAACTTAGGACTTAGTGTCTGAAAAAGCTTAAAATGAACATATTCAATGCTTAAAAATCCAAAATAATACAGAACGAAATGCCATCTTGTAGCAGAATTAACTACTGCGAGAGTAAGAACAACAAGCTGTCTGTTCGACCCGTATCTCTGTTCGTATTTGACATTCGGGTCAATAGGGATGGCCGTATCGATAACGAGTATCTACTATAACGCTAGGATCGACGGCATCTAGCGGCAACAAAGCTGATCCGGCAGCCAAATAATGCGAATTAGGGTACGGTTTCAACAGACAGCTTACTGTTTCCATCCTCGCATTGATCGATTATTGTACTTTATGCTATCTCAAAAGACCCTATATTCTGGATAGAAGACAATTTCTCGGCGTTCTATCGTTGTTCTACATGAGACCAAGCCTAGACCGTGCTGACGTCTTGCCAAATAGCACGAATCAGCGGTCCATAGTTGGCCGTATGTGGTCGGATGAACGAAAGCTATATTCCTAGTTTGCTTAAAACCGTAGTTAAAAATTGTTATTTCCGAGGTCACCCCATATTTGAGTTGAAGGTCAAAGCTTCTCCTACTATGCCTTCGAAGAGTATTTTAGGCTTTGTTTATTTTGAGCCAATTTTCAACCCTGCTTGGTAAGGTATCAAGTGGCGAGCTTTTGTTTCTCACAGACTTTGCATGATAAACGGGACATTCAGATTGACCCGGAATTGAGCTTTAGCGACCTAAAAAAGGTGCGGTAGTGGTCATTCGAATCGCAATTAAAGCATTTTAGTTATTTACTTTGCAAAGATGATCGAACGCGGTCATTCAGGAATGTAAGTTCAACCTTGCTCGTAATAGACTGGAGCTCATTCAGTCCGGAAACTTCCCTTCTTTGACATATCGGAAAAAAGGTATGAAAAAATTATCAAAAACACTTGCGCCTCTATGATCTGGTTGCAAACTCGTTGTGTATATCAAGTGCATAGGTTCTGAATCCAATATCAATTTGGTACTCAGTGTTATTTTTTAAAAGTGCGAGTGTTGGCAGATAATTGTGGTGTTAGATGATTCCAAGACATGGAACTTCTTACATAATTTGTAAAGAGCGGCACAAGCCCAGTAATGGTTGATATTTCCGCTAGTATCGCAACTATGTTGATGCAACGCTGTTACTTGGCCCTAAAGTCACGCAAACTTGACCTCATTGTTAGAAATGAAAAACTAACGATATCCAAAAAAAAACACTTGCGCTTATCACGAAACTTTGAACCCCAAATCACTCTACTTTATGGTCAATGCTTCAATAGTGACTTTTCGCAATATACTGGATAATCAGTTTTCCAGCATCTGAGTTGTTTGTACCTTTAACTGCAAACTACAAAGCAAAAAGTCTTACCAGCCAGTCTTCCATATCGCTGAAACATCCTTTCTACGTCTGTTTTGGAACACTGGAATGTGTTTAGGTTTCCTACAAACACCCTCGAGTTGACCGCTTGTGGGTCTTGTGAGTTGGTCTGATTGCCTACTTTGCTTATCTTCATTTTTGCGGACTGTCTGAAAAGATAAATATGACAATTAATTGTTGCAGGTAAAGTAAATAAAAAATGGTAAGTTTAGTTACGATAAGCGGATCCCAAATAATCCAGAGAGATTACTTTCCCGGTGGAGGTACGAAGAGAGTCGAGTCCAACGTCTCCCAAGGATTTCTATGGGGATCCATAGCCGCCAAATGATCCAAAGAGCTCCGAGTACCAAAGATATTTTAATTCAAAAAAGTTATTGTCCCCTTGGTACCCACAATATAATAACCATAAGTTGGTGTGAAGATCTAAGTAATAAAAGATGGATCACACCGATGACGAATCATACTTCTATCGTTTCTCATTAAAGCTTCAGAGACTGAATTGTGATTTTATGGCGCAAAATATCAATGATGGAACCAAATACTAGCTGAAGGAAGATATCTTATCTGGAAATGCAGCACATGAAGGTCATCACTGAGCTAACCAAATCTAGAACCGTTGATACTGTAGGAACTTTAAAACATGCTTCTTTCGTCCATCTGACCACAGACAGCCAACCATGAGCTGCTGTTTGGCAATTTTTGGCAAAAACATCGTCTAGGCTTGGTCTACAAAGGAAACTATCCTTTATCCAAGGTATGAGATTTATCGAAATAAGACAGCGCGACAGCCCAAAGCGTCATCTATCACCAGAGTCGACCACAGTAGAAGAACAAAGTGATAACGAAGATCAAAATAACTGAAATCTCCCCCTGGACAAATTTTTTGCTCACTCACTGTTCAAAAGTCTACCAAAAGAGTTGTTATGTCTCATGTTCGAAATCTAGCATTGGAAAGGTCTAGACTTTTGAACAGTGGAGGCGCGACAATTTTGTCCAGGGGGAGCTTTGAGTTATTTTAATCCTCGTAATCACTTCAGCTGACGACTGCGAGAGTGTATCGCAGCGATTTCTGAAATATTTGTTCAATTGCCAGTAGACAATATCTATATCACCAGAACCGTCAGCCTCATGCGGTCACAGTGGTGACTGGTCTATGAGGCGCAAACTGAGATCTCCACAATTCCAGTCGACAGCTGCTATACCCTCTTCGTTCCGTTAGTCCAGCCACTGGACATATTCTAAAGGCTTTTAGCACAACATCAACGCAATATTTTACCCTCTCCGACCCGAAGTCCTCCTCGCTGGACATAGTTTTATGCATAGTATCTCAATCCACCTCGAAAACTTGGCAAACTTGTACCTATGATGGTGTGCTCGTTTTGAGGTTTGCCATGGCGTACCTACGTAAATTTGGTAAATTTTTGTATTTCTACCACTTATTTCAATTATTACTATGTGAGAATCGACAGAATATGAATGTATCTTCGATTAGATAATATCGGTTGGATGTTAATAGTAATAAGAAACTGTGTAAAAGTGGTCTACGTTTTCTGTACAGCATTTTGGATACCGGGACTTTACTATACTTACTTGGACATACTTTGGTTTTGTAATTGTTTTGACTACTTGTTTTTAGTATTTACTTCTTTGTAAATGTATGCCTTGTTTAATTATGCTTTTTTTAGAGTCCAAAAAATTACTCTCTGATGCCGATTTAGAAGAAATCATAAACAGCTGTGATTTTTTTCTAAGCGATGACAATGATGAAGGTGATGCGTTCCCTCCAGCGACGTTAGATGAAGATGCTCAGATACAGCCACTAGCAGTCGAAGAAGATTATGAAGCTTCAGAATGGGACTCTGATGAAGAAATTCCTTTATCTGTAATAAGAGAACAAGAGAAGCAGAAGAAAATTAATACTGCACATAACTGGGAAAGACAGCCTTTTGAGGAACAGAATCTTGCTTACCTCGATCCAGAATGGGCTTTACAGGAAGATCGTGAGTTTTGGGAAAAAGCTATGCAAGCTAATGAAAAAAAGTTATTGAAATCTACAGCGGAAGAATATCGTAATCTGACGGGAATTCATATTCTCATGGGTATATTTGGACTGCCAAGACTAAGGCTGTATTTCCTAAAACGAACCGAAATCCCCATAATGACCCAACTACCTAGAGATCGAATTTTCAAATTACGAAACTACCTACATGTTGTTGATAACCTCACCATTTCAGATCCAGAAAAACAATCAAATAAGTTATGGAAAGTGCAACCGATTCTTGATTCAGTTCGAGCCAAGTGTGTCACCTCTCCAAGGACACAAGACTTATCTATTGATGAACAAATGATACAATTAACAGGCACTTGAAGCTTAGTCCAATACGTTAAAAATAAACCAAATCCCGTTGGGTTGAAAAAATTTGTTCTGGCGACAACCTCAGGGTTGGTATTAAGTTTCTGCATTTACCAGGGAGCTAAAACCTGGCCAGATGGTTTACCAGAGAAGGATTTGGGCATAGGAGGGAGTGTGGTGAAAAAGCTTTCTGAAGATTTGTCACTTGGACACGTCCTTTATTTTGATCGTTATTTCACTTCCCTCAACCTACTCGACTGTTTATTAACTAAAGGGATCTTAGGAGTAGGAACTATTATGAATAATAGGGTGCCTCGAGTTGTAAGAGATAAAATTAAAAAAGATAAAGATCTGCTATCAAATGGTCGGGGTTCGTATGACGAATGGGTGAGAACTGATAAAAAAATGTCATTACTGAAGTGGATGGACAGCAGAGCCGTCACAATGGCATCTACATCGTCAGGCTCTGCGCCGATATGCGATGTTCACAGGTGGGACCAAAAAAACCTAAAATATATTTTAGTTCCATGTCCAAATTCCCTCGATAGTTACAACCGCGCGATGGGCGGTGAAGATCTTTGCGATCGATTCATTTCATATCATCGCATTTGCATGCGAACAAAGAAATGGCCAGTGCGTGTATTTTGGCACTTCATTGACTTGGCGATCACTAATGCGTGGATAGAGTACAAGCAGGATTGCTTAGCGCGTGGAGATCGGAAGAATACCGTCATGGATTTGCTAGAGTTCAAACTCTATATTGGTAGATCTTTAGCTCTCGGAGGCCAAAGACAGAAGGCTTTACACGATCGGGGGAACAATGATAGTGCCGAAGAGAATATAGCGGCAAAACGCAAGAAGTCGACAGCATTACCACCCAAGGACGTCAGAAAAACCGGCAACGATCATTTGCCGATATGTAGTGTAAATGACAAAAACTCCTACATGCGGTGCAGGAATGAAGGTTGCACAAATAAAACTCGGTTCAACTGTCTCAAATGCCAGGTTTATCTTTGTATTACTCCAGAAAGACAATGTTTTTTTGTATTTCACTCTTAAACTTTGAGATAAAGTAAGTCCTCATGTCCCAAATGTGGGACATGTAATTTTTCTTCTTTTTAATAAAATTTCACTTGACTGGTTCTATATCTTTACTTAGTCCATAATACTCGTATTTCTCAGAAAATACTACAAAAATTATGAAGAAGCCAGCCTTGGGACTGAGGAGGCTATTTCCTCAGCCGAGATATCCGGAGCAAGTATGTAATTTTTAGAGCTAATAATTAAGGATGTCAAGAGAAAAGAACCTGCAGCCGAGAATTGTAGAGACATTAACTCTTACGTTGGTGGAAAAACAGCCAATTAGGATGCAGTCCACGAAAGCGGACAGGCTCTAGCTCCAGCTTTCGGGCTATGAAAACGAATCCCGGATTTCCAACCACTTGATAGTCCGGTCAATATATGTAGGTAGTAGAGATGGGGAAGTGAAGTCTGGTAAGCAATCCAGACGCCTATAGATATTCGGTTAAATTCAGGGCTCCTAACCACCCACACAGATCTTCACCGCACTCTAAGAAATGAGTAATATTTGGACACTTTTACATTCCATGATAACGAATAAATATATATTAATATATATTAATATAGTAAATTTATTTATAATCGGATCGCCATGGCGAGGTCGCCAACATCCTCTGCCAATATAAGCTATTAAAATATCGATTTTTGGGTCCACCGCCACTTATAGCCATATCAGCGAGCTGCCATAACATTCAATAGGTTAGTTTGGATACGGACCCTGGCGATGTGGCCACGTCGTTCCGGTGGTCGAGGATTCTGAATAAAAAATAAAGGCTTTCCGAATGATACCATTGGATAAGCCGTTAGTCGAGACTCTTTGCGCCTTTATGCTGAACCCCGAGGACCGACACCCGTATTAAGTGCCATCTCTTGCAAGAATCGACCACTACGAGAGTAAAAACAGCATGCTGTCTGTTGGAACTGTATCTGTAACTGTTGGCATATGAGCCAGGTCACCATTGTTGCCTGCCAGATGCCGTCGGTTGTGGTGGTAAAGAGGATATGGTCTATTCGTCATCGAACAAAGTACTGGTGACCCAGCTGACAAGGTGTTCCAACAGACAGCTTGCTGTTTTCACTCTCACAGTGGTCGATTCTAGTAATGTATGGTATAGGGCAGTTCATGAAGTCTTATTTCGATAGACCTTGTACTCTGGATAGAGGGTATTTGTCCAGATTTCATCCGTTGACCTGCCTGAGATCAAGCCTAGATCATGCTGAAAAGCTGCCAAATAGCACATATAACAGCTATCCATGGTTGGCTGTCTTTGATCAAACGAACGAAAGCTATATTACTAGTACAAAAAGTGACATTATAACGATCTTTAATGACTATGTAGAATTGCCCTTTGGTACTAGCTGTCATTCACTTCAAGTTCGTTTGTAGAAAATTCAAATTTCCGTAACCTCAACTCGACTAAAAGTCTGTCGTTTCATCAATATCCATTTATTTTTATGTTGCACAAACACAAATAAATCTGTCCGTCATCCGGTAGGTGGCGCTATCGTTGCCCACCCATCGAATAATAGCACGGCATATTCCTGTAGCGTTTTTCTGGGCTCTTTTGGGTATGGATGCAAACACTCGATTCCACAAGAAGAAATTCACTATTTTATTTACAACGCAGCACAACCAACTGCAACTTATCTAGATAGAACATTTATATCTGACTTCTTATTTACGAACTAAATTTCCGCGGTATTCACTTCAACCTTTCTTCTCTCTCCCAGCTGTCGGCTTATATATTCCGCATCGCAGGTACTCATTAATTCGGGAAAGTTCCTATACGCTACATAGCGGCCAGCCCAGAACCTTCGGGGTCAGTCTCGCACCTCGCTTCGATGCCGAAGGAGATTCCATAGCAAGGAACTCAATAGATGGCGCTAGTAGTACCATTCATTCTTGTTACATTACAATAGTCAACGTAGCCGACGACATGAAGGTTTCGCACGTCGCGTTATGCAAATCCGCCTTATTATGCCAAGCATCCACAGGCAGTTCACTTTTGCTTCAGCTACTGAGGACTGCGGACTATCTAAAAATGTATCATGTGGAAAACAACGTCTCGTAACGTGGGAGTTATCAAGCTCATAAGAATTTGCCCTAAATTCCAGCGTGATTTTTCACGAATTGTGTTTTTAACTGGCCATTGAAGAGTCTAAGCGTGAAAGACCTTCTTGGCCAAGAAGAGTCAGCGTAATTCTTAACGAATTGTGTTGTGAAGCACGCTATTGAAGAGTCTGAGCGTGAAAGACTTTTTTGGAAAAAGATTTTACTTTATGTTACACATAATGCCTGGGCTATCCAGCTTTCGATCTCCGGAAACGAATTCTGGATTTCCACCCACTTAATTGCTTACATGTGTTTTAATCTCCGACGTTGCACATCCGCTGAAATTTGTAATTCACTGTTTCTGCAAAAAACGTGTAATTTGCTCTTTTAACTGGCCGAGTTTTAAGTTGCAAGATGTACTCGGTCATTTTGCAGTATTTAGATATACGATCAGTAGGATCTAGAAGAACGCATTTCTCGTGCTACGCGAAATATAAAAGCTCTAGTTGCCATGAAGCAGGAGTAGCACTAGTGACAGCGTGGAGAGGCGAAGTCACCTTTGATCCGTTTATCGACCTCTGGCACCAACAACAAAGTGTAGCAACCCCACCAACATTAAGGTTTGATAACAAACCTACCAACAAAGGAAGAAAACAATATTCAGCCTGTCAGAAGTCATTTCTATTCCCATAAGGGATGAATACAGTTTTACAAAAGGGAAGGGGTGGCTTCCGACAATTCCGGCCGCAAAGCAGATACAAGCCAAGCTGGATTAGTATATGGTGGCTCTCCGTAATGTCTTCCATGCTGAAGGTTGGAATCCTATAAAAAATGGAAGGAGTAGCACCTAAACCAAAACAACTAAACATATAGAGGGATACTACCCCACTAATTGGTATTCGGCACCTTAGAACCCAGAATCTGGAGATTGAACAAAATGGTGCGCACACCACAACTTCAGGAGGAAACTGACTGATACAAAACAACTAACTACATCAAGGAAGGTTCAATGAGTGGCTATTCAAGAAGATGTGTTCGACAGGAAACCAAGTAACTGAGAAAAAACACATAATTTTTTTTCCAATACCATACTGAATCACTGAGAAAGGAAGATGTACTACGTGTGAAATTATAAAATCAATAAACTATGAAATTTGCCAAAAGAAAGTAACTGAAAAGGGTTTGGCCTAGGAATGGGCACTCTATCATTAATAAAGAGAAACTCAAATTAGTAATAAGTGATCAAAATAGAAGCAAAGGTTATGTGATTTTGTCAAGTGACAACACATCACATCACACCCATGGTAGCCTTGTGAAATAGAGAATATTAGTGTAATTTTTGGGGACCTCGGTTGGCCGCGTGGGTCAGAGTGTCGCGCTACTGACCAGCCGGTCGGCCGGGCCGCGAGTTCGAATCTCGCCTTCGCCATGGACGTTGTGACGTCGTGTGTTTGTCCATAATTAGAGATATACATATACAAGATTGGATCTGGCTAATGGGACGCAATGTCCTGGTGCCAAAAAAAAAATATATTGTAATTTAGGCCCGTATCGTCAGTCGTCCCTACAATTGTAGGGCTCGTTTATGGCCTTCCTGATTTCGATAATATTACGTCTTCTTCGTTAACGCACATGTATGTCCTCCTTTTGATTTCCGACATCTGACAGTTCTGGCTTGAGGTTGTTATGACGTTCAAGTCAAATGACAGCAGAACCATAATTTATAATTTTCTTGCAAATAATTGTCGATCACTCAAAAATACCTCGCTACATTGAACAAGTTCCACAACCTGTGGTATCTTCAAGAAATTGTTGAGTAAGGAAAATTAATGCACATAGATATTATACTATAATATATTTGTGTGTATGAAAGTCCAAAAGCTTACAACCAACCTTCATCAACAGAACAGCTTGGTTGTAAGCTTCTGGACTTTTATACAGGGAATTGATTCCCACAGTTTTCTTGTAATTAGTTGTGGAATTTTCTGCCATGATGGTACAAAGTAATGAAGAATTTAACTTCATGCTGCAACTCCATTTTCCCATTTACACCTTGTAATGTCTCAATTGGTGCTCCTACATGTCCATGCTTTTTAATATCCTGAAATCATGATTGTCAATTTACCATGGACTCAATTTCAGAACCTTTACACATTATTCATACTTGCTTAGCACAGCTTGTCTTCAAGTTCGTAAGTATTCATTCTTATCATTATGACTATGATCATACAGGTTTATGCCAGGCTTTAATTAACAAATTGCAGTGTAGCACATATCGGTCACATAAATGAAATTCACGTTTTCTTTCTGTAAGATTCCTTCAATTATGCCTGGATGCATAAATTCCTTCTTAGAAAGATCATTCACCTCCTTATCCTTCCAAAGTAAACATAGCATTTTACTGAGGAACCAACTTCTCATAAAGTCTGTGATAATGAATCACACCTGAAACTAATGCGATAAGTATATAATATGGATATGTAATGATTTGTTTTGTAACTTACCAACCTCCATCAAGAGAATAGCTTGATTGTAAGTTTCTGGACTTTCATACACACAAATATATTATAGTATAATATATCCATGTGCATTAATTTTCCTAACTCAACAATTTCTTGAAGATACAGGTTGTGGAATTTGTTCAATGTAGCGAGGTATTTTTGAGTGATCGATAACTATTTGCAAGAAAATTATAAATTATGGTTCTGCTGTCATGTTACTTGAACGTCAAAACAACCTCAAGCCAGAACTGTCGGATGTCGGAAATCAAAAGGAGGACATACATGTGCCTTAACGAAGAAGACGTAATATTGTCGAAATCAAGAAGGCTATAAACGAGCCCTACTATTGTAGGGACGACTGACAATACGGTCCTTATTAGTTATTTTTAATTACTACGAGTCCACATATCACTTTGAATAGTCTCTAAGACAGGTTGACGCTGAATCCAGCACTGAGCTACTTAACTGCAATTGGTTGCGCCGGTTTTTCAACATGGATGTGAAAGCCCCTTGATAGACCTCAAAATTAATCTGTGTACCAAGTCAAAAAGCCTAGGTGTTTTCTCTTAAACTAAACACTTCTGTGTTTTTCTTTGCTCTTCTCCTTTTTCCTTCTCTTTTCCCTTTCTCCTTTTCTTTGACGTTGCCTTGTTTCTGGGCAACCAGGACTGACGGATTCGACTAACGTACATTAGACAGTGACTAATGGGCAAAGGCCCTACGGACCGCCCAGACAAACAAATGACGAATAGTACCGTTTGACAGCGCACGTACCTCCAGCAGGATAATTTCCCCAACAAGGCAATGTCGGAAGAACAATAAAAGGAAAATTGAATATTTCAAAGGTTGACAGCAGATTATTATGGCAAGCTAACCAAACATAGAACACAATGATAAACCAGGAGTTGTGACATCATTGTGAAGCACTCGAAATATGCGGTCTTTAAATAATCGTAAAACCATAAATCATGGTGCTTTTGAATACACAATTAAAAAGGTATAGGACATTTTTATGAATGAAATATGTGTATGACAAGTTGTACCACCAACTGCCAAATATCTTGAAAGAAAGTACTGATTGGTTTACTTTCCTTCCATAACAAAGTTCGGCAGGAAACAATTTAAAGCCCACACAACTGCATTCTTTCCTGCCATTCAATAATTTTTTATATACCTGATCAGCGGCGTATACAGAAGTTAGTGCGCCTAGGAGCTTGAAGAAACTCTGTTAATCTGGATTTTAAACTGCCTAATGTTGGTACAGCTGGGAAAAGTCTCCCCAGGTAGGCTGTTCCACAACCTCGATTTCCTAGCGACAAATCAGCGGTCGTATCGGCCAGATCTGGATGCATGATATGATTAGCATAGGTACTATTCGTCATTTGTTTGTCTGGGCGATCCGTAGGACCTTTTCCGATTAGTCACTGTCTCATTTACGTTAGTCGAACCTGTCAGTCCTGGTTGTCCAGGAATCAGACAATGTGAAGGAAAAAGAGAAAGTGAAAGAGAAGAAAAAAGGAGAAGAGCAAAGGAAACAGAAGTGTTTATTTAGTTTAAGAGGAAGTACATAGGCTTTTTGACTTAGTACACGGATTAATTTTGAGGTGAACTAAGCAAATTTTTATTCAGGTTTTGTTAGAGTGTAATTTTGAGTTTCCTAAAAGTTCGGGCTAATTTTTGATTACAGTGCGAGCCGTGGCCTTGAATGTTCACAATGTGTAGTCCACTGAGTCACGCAAAAGAGGGTCGCTGTGCGATTCCGCTTGACCATAACGTTGCTACGCCTGAAGCTTGACATAATCCCTCAAGTAAGGAATGGAATGGTCTCTGTGTCGTGTCTGATTTGAGACATACCATTGGGCGTTGCAGATTATTCGCAAAGTTCTGCTTTGCGGTACTTGAAGACTTTGCTAGAAAACACCAAGCCGTACATGCATAAGTAATGGCTGGTCTAATAATCATTTTATATAGTCGAACCTTGTTTATCAAATTCTATTTGGGGGATCTACATAACAAAGGATGTAGTTGCCGAAACGCAATTTGGATTTTGATTTTCAAGGCTGCTGTATGTTTCTGACAGGTTTTTAAGGGTCTACAGAAATCTCTGCTGGGGGACCGCGACGTTTTTTGGTACAATAAATAGACTGCGTCTTCGAGTGATTAATTTTAATCAGCCACCGTTCCGCCCACTCTAGTACTTCGTCCACCGCACTCTGCAGCTCATCGTGAACCAGATCACCAGTACACGACTGGCTGACAAGTGCATTGTCGTCAGCAGAGAGGTAGACTTCACAGCTGCTGGGGCAAAGCACATCATGGATAAAAAGGATTGGTCCTAGGACCGAGTCCTGAGGAACACCGGCCCGTACTGACCGTTTTGTTGACAAAACGTTGTTAATTTTGATCCGAAACTTCCTTCCCTCAAAAAAGGATTTCAGTAATCTTAGAAGCCACAAAGGAAAACCCTTTTGGATTAGTTTATAGAGGAGGCCCGTGTGCCATACCTTGTCAAAGGCTTTTGAGACATCCAAAAACAAGATGCCAGTACTCTCGCTGAGGGTGAACCCTCTGCTTACATGCTCCACCAGCCTGACTGCCTGTAGCTCGGTGCTATGCTCGGACCGAAACCCGAATTGAACGTCAGGTATCACATGGTGATTTGACGAACAATTCTCTAGGTGGCGATAAATCACCTTTTCGGCGAGCTTAGAAGGAACTGACAGCAGACTAATGGGATGGTAATCCTGACGAAATATCGAACCCAATTTCTTTGGAATCATGATGACCTCTGCAATCTTCCACCCAACAGGGAAGTATTGGATTCTGAGCATCGCATTGTTATTGTCACCAAATGGTCAGGCGGATCTGTCTGGTAGGCGCTTCTCGTGGCGGCGTCATAAAGGAAAGCTCTGAGAAGCAAGGCCCGCTGACGTAACGGGAAAAAGAGCTGGATCGCTGATGGCGCACCGGTACAAACGTGTCTCGAGAGTCTTCGTTAGAGGAGAGTTGTCGATCAATCGGACTGCCCTCCTCTGAACAGGATCGAGCATGAATAATGTAGTCAGTGCGGTAGCACCACAAACATGTGTGCAGTACTCAAGGCTAGGTCTTGTCATGTCATTCCTTCCAGTAACAATAGTGACTGGAATATGAATTTTCTAATTGGTCCTCTCGAACCTTGTTAGAGAAGAAAAGTGAAATTTGTGAGACCAGTACGAATCTGTTACTGTCTGGTTGACCAGTCAAAAATCGTCAAGGAGAGATCGACGGAACAACGAGCTTTCTTGATAGGATAGTATGGCAATATTACATGACTGAAAAGAACAATCGTGTATCACTCTTTTTACCGGAAAAAATGGCAGGAAATAACATTCGTATATAGATTGCAAGTCCCATCACGAAGACAAAGTGACTCTAAATTTCTTCAGTGTTCGGCTCCTGTGCAGGTGCGCTATAGACTTCGTGGCATTGATACAGTCATCTCTGTTTCTTGTGAGCTTAGTCAGTACCACGAAAATATGATTGAGTTAAAACGACTCTTTCAACTGAACAAAATTTTCTGGAAAGCTCCTCTTGAAATTTGTCTTTTTAAACCTCAAACAGTCATAATGCCTCAGCCTAGAGCACCTCCAATGATAAAAAAAAGCTAAAAGAGAGTCTTCTATAATGCGCACGAAATACATCAAAAATGCATTCCTTGAATGACCTTTGTATCTTATCAACGCTCTACAAATAAAATGATAACGAGACGTAGCGACCATCTACCTATGTAGCAGATTTATCAGGCTAGAATTGAGTTCATAGTTGTCGAATAGAGACAACGAGGGTATATCCAGGTTCATATTGTGGAACGAAGTACCCAACAGACGCCTGTACATTAGCTTAGGTACTGCTGTATTTGAGATTTCCAACAAATTCGAACAGGTTAGAGAGAGCCAAGCATATATATTTACATTGCATTTTTTACAATTCTAGTGCACATCTACATGATAGTACTTGTCGGTAGAACATCTACCTTCATTAGGGTTGTGCCGCTCTTTGCAAATTATGTAAGAAAAACCATGTCTTGGAATCGTACAACACCACAATTATCTGCAAACACTTGTATTTTTGAAAAATAACACTAAAAATTCAAATTTAATGACAGAAGAACTGTAAAAAAATGACTTATGTCACGTGCACCTCGATCCGCACTACAGACTATGAGAATTAGGAGACAAACAGATCCGTGACTATCCTTCTACCTAGTTCGAATTCTTTGGACGTTTCGAATAGACTAAGGCAGCCTTTTCGAATTTTACATCCTGTAGTTGGTTTATACTAGATTGGAAAACGGGCAGCTGTCATTATTTGTATAAAAGTATCATGTCCATATATTATTCCTGTGTAAACAATAAATATTAATCAATTCAATTATGTAGTTACCTCAGATCAACCATTTCATTGCAAAAATATGTGTGTGTGGATTGTAACAGTCAATATTTAATATGCAGAAATTCAATGAAAATAGATTTGGCCATATCTCTGCGGAGCATACGCAAATGTTTATTATCCGCGAACAGGTTTGTCAACTTTATATTTAATTCACTCGGAATAGAGAGACAAATAAATGCATTGCATATACAGGATGCTACAGAATGTTGTCGGGAAAATCTCAATGCAGAATAAGCAC